CCTCCTCGTCGCAGGAGCCACCACACTCTTCTGCCTGCTGCACTTTGGAGTGATCGGCCCCCAGAGGGAAGAGGTGAGTGCCTCACCAGACTCTGCTCTTTCTCCCACCCAGGGAGAGAGAGAGACGGGTGGAGGAAAGAGGTGTGCTGATGGAGACCAGTGAGAGAGAAAGTGTGGAGAAAGACGTGGAGGCAGAAAGACACCTGGAGAGAGATGGGGGAAGAGAGAGGGAGGGAACCCACAGGAGGTGCTCACTGAATGCTTCTTGAATGAATGAATGAGCCCGCAGACATACGTAAAGAGAGATGTGTGGAGAGATGTGGGGTGTGGGGAGAGAGATGGGAACAGAACAAGTGATGTGAATAAAGATGGTGAGACAGAAAGATGTGGACAATATGAGAGAGAGATAAGGAGAGATGTGAGGAAAGAGATAAGAGAAGAGTGTGTCCGGCTCGTGGAAGACACTCAGTGAAAGTGTCGGGGAATGGATGAATGGTGAGAGGAAACTAGAGTACGAGCTACAGAAGCAGCCTAGCTGTTTCTCATTTGGGGTGACTTGCTCTGATGCTAAAACTCCTTCTTTTTCCCAGCAGCTCCCAGATGGCCTCCAACTAATCAAACCTCTGGCCCAGACAGTCAGTAAGTATCTCCAAAGCCCATCTCTGGATTCTGGGCTTGGGGGTGGGGTGGGGGTTGGTCCTGGGATAGCCACAGTGGGGGAAATTCAGGGTTTCGGTTTGAGGGGAGGAGGCTTGGAGGTCAAAGTAGTGGGACCTTTTCCAGGAAGCTTAAGGGTCTCACCTTTTTCTTTCCTCTTTCCTCCTCAGAATCATCTTCTCGAACTCCAAGTGACAAGCCCGTAGCTCATGTTGTAGGTAAGAGTTCGGAGGATTCGGCTGGGGGACGGTGAAGCAGCTAGGATGTGGAGGGATAGGATTTGGGGGCTGAATCAGGCTGAGGGTAGACAGACCTTGGAGATGGTATGAGAAGGACTCACTGGCCTTGAGAGGGATACTCAGAACCTCATGGCCAGATGGGATGTGGGAAGACAGACAGAGGGGACAGGAACCGGATGTGGGGGGTGGGCAGAACTTGTGGGCCAGGATGTGGAGAGTGGAACTGACAGGGTCACACTGACTCACCCCGCCCTCCTTCTCTCCTTCCCTCCAGCAAACCCCGAAGCTGAGGGGCAACTCCAATGGCTGAGCCGGCGTGCCAATGCCCTCCTGGCTAATGGTGTGGAGCTGACAGACAACCAGCTAATAGTGCCATCAGACGGGCTGTACCTCATCTACTCCCAGGTCCTCTTCAAGGGCCAAGGATGTTCTTCCACCAATGTGCTCCTCACCCACACCATCAGCCGCTTCGCTGTCTCCTACCAGACCAAGGTCAACCTCCTCTCTGCCATCAAGAGCCCTTGCCAAAGGGAGACCCCAGAGGGAACTGAGGCCAAGCCCTGGTATGAGCCCATCTACCTGGGAGGGGTCTTCCAACTGGAGAAGGGGGATCGACTCAGCGCTGAGATCAACCTGCCTGACTATCTCGACTTTGCCGAATCCGGGCAGGTCTACTTTGGAATCATTGCCCTGTGAGGGGGCAGGATGTCCATCCTTGCCCACCTCAAACCTTTTATTATCCACTCCCCCTGATCCTCCATCCCCTTCTGGCTTAGAAAGAGAATTAGGGGCTCAGAGCTGGGCCTCAAGCTTCGAACTTTAAACAACAACACTTAGAAACCTATGATTCAGGGATGCGTGACCCAGACAACGGAGCACTGGCCCCCACCAAGAATGCAAACTGGGGCTTCCAGCGCTCACTGGACATCGCAGGTTTGGATCCCTGAACGCAACCTGGAACACTTGGAATGTGGGGGTCAGGGAACTTTTCGTTTTGGCTAGAACACTTCAGAACATTCCTTGTGAAGATCTCACCTAGAACCTGACATGAATGGACCTCAGGCCTCCCTTTCTTCAAATGTCTCCAGATTCTTCCTGAGAAGGAAAGCCCAGCCCCTCCCACAATGGGGCCAGTTCTCTCTATTTATGTTTGCACTTGTGATTATTTATTATTTATTTATTATTTATTTATTTACTGATTAATGTATTTATTGGGAGGCTGGGGTGTCCTGGGAGACCAAATGTAGGGGCTGCCTTGGCTCAGACATGTTTTCTGTGAAAATGGAGCTGAACTCTAGGCTGTTCCCACCCAGCCTCCTGGCCTCTGTGCCTCCTTTTGCTTTCATTTTTCAAAAATATTTATCTGATCAAGTTATCTAAATAATGCTGATTTGGTGACTGACTGTCACTGCATCGCTGAACCTCTGCTCCCCAGGGGAGTGATGTCTGTAACCGCCCTACTGGTCAGTGGCGAGAAATAAAATGTGCTTAGAAAAGAAACACGGTCTCATCGAATTAATTCTGCATCTTCCTCTCCTTTGGGGGTGGAAGGCCACTCTCTGAAGTCCTCTTTCTACAAGCCTTAAGATCCCTGAACCTGGGGGCGCCTGGGTGGCTCAGTGGGTTAAAGCCTCTGCCTTTGGGTCAGGTCATGATCCCAGAGTCCTGGGATCAAGCCCCGCATCAGGCTCTCTGCTCCGAAGTGAGCCTGCTTCCCCCCATCTCTCTCTCTCTCTGTCTACCTCTCTGCCTACTTGTGATCTCTGTCTGTCAAATAAATAAATAAAATCTTTTTTTTTAAAAGATTTTTTATTTATTTATTTGACAGAGAGAGATCACAAGTAGATGGAGAGGCAGGCAGAGAGAGAGAGAGAGAGGGAAGCAGGCTCCCTGCTGAGCAGAGAGCCCAATGCGGGACTCGATCCCAGGACTCTGAGATCATGACCTGAGCCGAAGGCAGCGGCTTAACCCACTGAGCCACCCAGGCGCCCCAATGAATAAAATCTTTAAAGAAAAAAAAAAAAAAATCCCTGAACCTGGGGACCTGGGTGGCTCAATGGGTTGGGTGTCCAACTCTTGATTTTGGCTCAGGTCTTGATCTCAGGCTGGTGGGATGGAGCCCCGCTTCTCAGCAGAGAGTCGGCTTCTCTCCCTCTCTCTCTGCCCCTCCCTCTGCTCACTCACACGTGCACGCACGCTTGCAATCTCTCTCTCTCTCAAATAGATGAATAGATCTTTTAAAAAAAATGATCCTTGAACCCATAAAATAAATACAAATAAAAGTTCAAAAGAAAAAAAAAAAAAGATGTCTGAACACCGTCCCCACCCAGGGGACTACTGGGGCTCAGGAGCCCTGCATTTAAAAAAGCCTGGGCAGGGGTGCCTGGGTGGCTCAGTGGGTTAAGTCTCTGCCTTCGGCTCCGGTCATGATCCCAGGGTTCTGGGATCGAGCCCCGCATCGGGCTCTCTGCTCAGTAGGGAGCCTGCTTCCCTTCCTCTCTCTCTGCCTGCTTCTCTGCCTATTTGTGATCTCTGTCTGTCAAATAAATAAAAGTCTAAAAAAAAAAAAAATAAAATAAAAAAGCCTGGGCAAATAAGCCCCTCCCCCAGGAAACTGGAGCCTGAACCTAATTACCTCTCCCTCAGGGCATGGGAATTTCCAACTCTGGGAATTCCAGTGGGGAAGTCCTGCACCTTAAGTGCTCAGGTGAGATTTCCTGATGTTGCAGCCTGCTAGAGAGAGTCTGTGAAGGGCCACATTCTCAGGCACCTGAATCACAGCCAAAGGACTTCCAGACCTTCAGGCATCAGGGCTCCAAATCACCTGATCCCAAGATCCCCCAGAAGCCCTAACTGTACAGCCTGAATCAGTTACTGAGCCTCATCTCCCCAAGGAAGACAGGAACACCTCCTGCATACAGGGCCACGAGAGAATAGAAGGCCTAAGCTACATCAGAGCACCCAGCATAGCACTTGGCAGAGTAAGTCTGAGAATTCTGAATTTCTTCTTTGTCCAGCCACCAGCTGTTCTATCTGCTTCGTCTCTCAGTGAGTGGAATTGAAGAAACAAAAGAAAATTTAAAACAGAATAGGCTGCGGGTGAAGGACTCACATGTCAGCTCTCCCAGATATTCTTGGTGAAAAATGAGGGGAGGGTCATGAGATAGATGGGCTAGAAAGAGAACTCTCCTCAGGAAAGTTCTTCTGGACACAGAGTCACACACAAATATGGAGTCAGAAGTGAAGACCCAGAGAGTGGGAGTCCCCACTGGGTTCGGAAGTTGGGTTTTCCTTCCTGACAGGCTGCTGGGAGGGGAAAATTGTGTGGTATGCCGCAGGGGTGGGATGACCCACTGGGGTGACCTAGATAGGGCCTTGGGTCCCTCTCTGCCTCCCTCAGCCCGGAGCTGAAAGTCGGTCATGGGGTGCTTGGGGGTGAGGGGGCTGCTGTTACTCACCCTGGGGCCCCCACACTTGCCGACGTATGGAAAGCAGACCTGAGGTGTGAACAATGGGTGAGGACTTTCCATCTCACCCTGGATAGGGCCAATGGCCCCAGATTTCCTTTCTTCTTCTTCTCCCCAGCTTCACCCTGATGTCCCAGGCCCTATCTTTCCGCCTCTTCCCTCACACCCAATGAGCTGTGTATTTTTCCTTGGAGGACAGTGGACTGTGGGGTAGTGGCTAAAGTGGGCTTCAGGCAGCCAGGCAGGCAGCAGGGAAGAAGTGCTAGGCCCCCAGGGCTTTATTCCTTCTTCCCAGCCTGGTTCCTCCAAACAGGGCTGCCTTCCCTTGTCAGGATCCCTCTCGCTGACAGAAGGGACCCCAAAGAAAGGAATGCAGGTGGAGTCTGGGGAGGGCTCAGGGGATCTGAGAAGGAGGCTTGGAGATGCTTTGGGGCTTAAGGAGATCCCCTTCTTCCATCTTCCCACTGGGCTAATGCTGGGCAAGTTCATTCAGAGACAGGAGGTGGGTGGGAAATCAGCGGATCGCCTTCTTAGAGGGCAGAAGCCACAGGAAGTGATATGAATTGTTTCAAGCAACCAGAAGAAAAGACTAGCCCTTTGCAGTACCCACCCTGAATCAAGACATGAGAGACCTGGGCACCCGTGCTCCGCAGCACTAAAGCTTTACATTCTTTATTTTCTTCAGGTTTGCCATCAGTTTCAGGACAGTCTCCTGCATTTTCCCCACCGCCATGGGGTCCCTGGCGTCTGGGTCCCCAATACCTGGGCTGAGTCACACGTCCCTACCAGGCAGTCGTTTCCCCCGCCCTCACCCCACCATCACCGCCCCAAAGAAGGTCTTCCCCCTCCTGTAGTCCACCATATCGGGGTGACTGATGTTGACGTACACCCTCTCGCCCCTCCGGAGCTGCACCAGGCCGCCAAAACCCACACTCGTGTACCAGAGGGGCCCGTACTCGCGCGTCCGGGCCGGGTCCAGGACCGGGGTGACGGTCTCTGCGCCCTCGAGAAGCAGCTCGGGAGTCCCCGGCCCGTAGGCGCCCCCCGCCCGGAACAGCCGGCTGCGCAGCGTGACCGAATGGTCCAGCAGGCCCCCGCCGGCAGGGGGCGCGCGGCCCCGGTAGCCGACGTGACAGTAGAGGTAATAGAGGCCGTCCTGCGGCAGCGCCAGCCCCTCGGCGACCGAGAACTGCGTCCCGCTCCTCAGGAACGCCTCTTCTTTCTTCGCCTCCCAGCCCAGCCCCTGCCCCTTCGTCCAGGCGCCTGCGGAGAAACCGGGGCCTGTCGGCGCTCGGGTGCCGGATCCTGCAGGAAGGATCCCGGCCCGGGACTTCTGGGAGGGTGAGCAGGTGGGAGAGTCGGAGCTGTTAACCCCCAGCAGGATCCGAGCCCGGGGGCGGGGCGAGGGCGCGCGCGCCACCTCTGCAGTGATTTGGGGGAGGGGACTGAGGGCACCAGAGTGTGGGGTGCGGAGCCCGGTGGTGGGGTAGTGGGGAGATCTAGGAGGGGTTTTGACAGCTCCAGAAGGGAAGCAAGGAGATGGAATGCGGGAGGAGAGGAAGGTGGGCGCTTTAGGGACCAGAGGTGGTGAAGCAGGTCGGAAAGCGAACCCTGCAATGACAGAGCAAAGGGACCGTGGGCAGCAGCGCTAGCATCCTTGGACTACCTGTGAGATCCTTACCTATGAGGTGGGCGGCGGGGAGCCTGGAGCTGAAATCTGTTTCTGCCTCTTCCTCTGGCAGCTCCTGCGACCCTGGAAGGGGGGAAAGAGTCCACGATTGCGGGCCAGGGCGGCCTTCCATGCATGGTACCCCCCGAGAGGAAAGGGCACCAGGACGAGATTCTGGGAAGGATGAGTTCACTGAGGGATGCAGCTGGATGGGAGCTGGGCCTCCCTGAAGGGCCGGAGTAGGGAAAGGGGAGATGGTCTGCTCTTACCCAAACGCTGCTGGGCCTGGGCCTGCGCCCCCGGGTCAGCCGTCCCTGTTACCTGGGTGGGTGGGGTCACAGTGCCCAGAGTTCAGTGTTAGCTGATGCCATCCCCACCCCTCCCAACGCAGACCCAAGCTCCAGGCCTAGTCAAGACTACCAGCCCCATCCCCAACATACATCTCCCTGGGAGGGAGAGCCAGCAAGGCATATGTTCTTGGGCAGAGATGGAGGCCTGAGTATGTCTTGGGAAGAGAAGAGGAGACAGCTAGACAACTAGGAAGGAGCTTGGAGCTATCAAGACACAACAGCATCACGGGAACAATGGAAAGAGGACCAACAAAGAGGCAGACAAGGCATCCCCATCAGGGACAGCCAAGCCGACTGAGCAGGAGGAGACAAGAGAGCCCCAGGCATAGCTAGAGGTAAGTGGGCATCAGCAACACGCAGCCCCTCCAGGCTTGTTGCCGCTACTCACCAGGCCTCCTCCCTGCTCCTGGGGCACCAAGGCCAGCACAGCCAGGACAGTGATAGGCACAGCCAGCAGCAGGGTCACCAGGGAAGTGGCTCCTGCCACAGCCAGCAGGAGGCAGCCCTTCCCCTGGGGCCTCCTACCCCTGCCCTCTAGCCCCAGTGACCCCATTGAGACTGAGCCAGGGCCAGGGCAGGGGGGCTTTCATACTTCAGGGGTGGGGCCACCCCCTCCCCATAGACCCACACACCTGGCTGGGACTTTCCGCACACCCCTGCTCCCCTCACCCAGCTTCCTGTTTACCCAGAGCTGGGGTGGGGCAGCTGGATGCCCAGGTTCTCTGAACTGGGGAAGAAGTCAGGGTGAAGAGACAGACTTATAGGGTAGAGCTGGAGGGGGCCTTAGAGATCTTATGGTTCATTAGGGAGGGAAACTGAGGCCCAGAGAGGGAAGGTAGCTCACAAAAAGTCAGGCAGCAGAGCTACGCAAGAACACCACACTCCAGATTTCAAGGGCGGTCTGCATTCTTCTACACCCCAGTGGTGGGTGCTGGAAGGAGGGCTGTGTCGACATCCCTGAGGTCAAGGGCTGGAATAGGAGGACAGGAACTGAGGTCTTGAGGGATGGATATCTGGGTCCCTGAGAAGAGCTTATGCCGGCACTAGACCAAATCTCCTCCTTCCATTCCCTCACTCACCCGTAACCCCCAGAGCTTGGTGAGAAGCCGAGTTAAGCCAGGCCACAGAAATAGCAGCTGAGGGTGTCTGGGTCCCTCAGTCAGTTAAGTGGCTGCCTTCGGCTCATGTCATGATCCCAGGGTCCTGGCATTGAGCCCCGCATCGGGCTCCCTGCTCAGCAGGAAGCCTGTTTCTCTTTCTGCAGCTCCCCTTGCTTCGGTTCCCTCTCTTGCTGTCTCTATCTCTCTGTCAAATAAATAAATAAAATCTTAAAAAAATAAATTTTAAAAAGAGCATTGCTTTAAAGGAAAAAATACATATAGCAGCTGAAAGGGACCTTAGCCTCTCCACTGCCTGTTGACTCACTGAGAAGGGATGGAAATGAGCATTACCTCCCTTCCTCCATAGAGTGTAGATGGGAGAGTGATAGGGCATGGCCCCACCTTCAAAGAGCTTGCTGTCTAGAGTGAGCCCCATCTATTTAGCAGGTGCTGACTACATGTTTTGGAATAAATGAAGGAAGGACAAATGAAGGAATGAGGAAGCAAAACAAAGCAGGAACAAATGGTATGGTAGACAGTGCAGTGAGAGAAAAGACCAGGTCCAAGGAAGTTGGAGGTGGTCTCAGATCATGTCCCCTTCTTGATGACATCTCTGCAATTAGGTAATAATAATAATAACAACATATAGCTATTGTACAAATAGCACTTAGCAAGTGCTTGCCTCTAATCTACACACTTTATATATAAAAATTCTTTTTTTTGAAATATATATAATAATTCTTTTAATCCTGACAAAAACTCTAAGAAGAGACTGAGGCACAGAGAGGTTAAGGAATTTATAGAAGGCTGCACAGTAGTGGCAGAGTCAGGATTTGAACCCAGGCAGTCTGGCTCCAGAACCTTGATCACAAGACAGCTTTAAAAAAACAAAACAAAAAAAAACCCCTGAGTGCTGACTTCAGATTTGTGCATTTTAATGTATGTAAATCTTGCCTTCCTCAGCCCCCCAAAAAAGAAATAGGGAAACAAAAGCTGGACTCGAGTCACTGATAATCATGGTAAGAGCTTTAGGGGTAAAATGTGTACTGATGTTTGCAACTCTGAAGGGTATCCAAAAAATGAGATAGATTGGTAGGTATGTGATCAAGCGAATATAGAAAACTGTCTATTTTAGAATGTAGGTGGTATGGATATGTTCACTATAAAACTATTTCAATTTTGTTCTGTTTGAACATTTTAATAATAAAATGTGTGAAAAAAAAACAAACAAACAAACATGAATTGTCCTGCTGTCCAACGTGGGGAGTGTTGTGGATGGGGGGAAAGGGGAGAAACACCAGGAATTTTCTGAATTTGAAGAAGGAGATGCAAATGCATGTGGACCCAGGCACAGATATCCACCTTACCTCCTGCCTTCATATGAGCTCCCCAGTCTTCACCCTCCTTAACGACTGGGTGTGCAATCCCCCAGCACCCATCTCCCTTTCTATCTCTGTGCCACTAAGAGGCCTTCATCAGGTGTCTATCCAGAAGGTCTCGGATCACTGCCCTTTTTTTTTCTGTGCGCAACATCAGAATGTTGCCTCCTACAGGAAGTCCACCTAGATTGCCCCCACTTCCTTCCCCAACACCAACTTGTCACCAGCTTTCTGTCCTAGACTATCAGCAGTACTCATGTACTCCTGTACATCTATCTAGTCTAGCTGCCTCTGATTCTGTTCGTTAATCAGTCAAGTGCCCTGCTTGATTCAGCCCCAGAACACCAGGCAAGTTACCCCAAATCTACCAGAGCTTCCACTCTGACGTGGGAGCCTGGGTGTGTGTCTACACATACACACTGGGATCATGAGCTCTCAGCGGAGGCAGTGGGAGGGGTAATTGGGGAAAAGTTAATGAGTAAAGGTACCTAGAGGAGGCACACGCTCACTGACTACTAGCAGAAGCAACAGGATGGCTGGAGCTGAGGGAGTTTAGAGGCTTAGTTACAGTCCTAAGAGTCTGAAAGGAAAGATGTTGTAACCCTAACTAACCTTCAAAGCCTAACTTCCTCTCCTGACAGAGCTAGGGAGGCATCCAGACTGGGGGAGATGTTAAAGCTGGAGGAGGGGCAAGAATGTTTGAAGTGGCAACACCTCTCCACCCAGGCAGCTCCCACAGTCTGGAGTCTGTCTACGCACAGGCCACACGGGCTCTGGATAAGCTGGGAGAGAGCAGGAACCCTGGTGGGAAAACGGGGCAGGGAGGGGCAGTCATGCCCCACGGTGAGATGAAGCTAAGATTACAGAAGACAGTATGGCTTTGGGGTTCTCTGAGCCCTGGAGGCATCTGCTGTCCAGCCTCTGTCTCTGCTCCCCAAAGAATTAAATACAAGCCACTTTTGCCTCCACTTCCCCTCATGGTGACTGCAGGCCCTCCTCTCCACCTGTGTTTCTGCTCCCCAACCCACCCCCACACACACCCCAGCATTCCTCTTGAGCCCAGCAGGGTCCCAGTTTCCAGACCCTGGTCAGTGCAGCTGGCTCTGGTGGTGTGAAGACGGCGACCTCCCTCTTTGCCTTCAAACAGGAACCAGTGGTTGCAGGGCAGGAAGTGCCTGAGGGGAAGTTATGGGGCCCAGACACTCCTCCATGCCCCACTTCAGCCCCAGCAGTGTCTGTCCATGGGAAGTGGCTCCCCATACCAGCCACATCGGGCCCTGCTCCCCAGAGTGGCTCTGGGCTGAGGGAGCGTTCCCAGCTGCCAGGTAGCTCTGGATACCACCTCCCCTTGGTTTCACTGGTCCACACACACACTGGAAACCCCGGGTCCTCCCCCTCTGTCAGCCCCTCACCAGAACTTAGAACTACCCCATGCTGGAGAGGCCCCCATGAACCACCTGGTTAGCCTAGGGGAGAAGAAAGGGGTTGTGCTCTGGAGCTCTGGGGTTCAAGGCCAGCTCTCCCACTTCTAGGCTGGACCTCCTCATTAGAGTCTGGACTAGAGTCTCAGGTTCCTCACCACTAAAACAGGCACCATAATCCCCTACGTTGTGAGGCTTAGCAACGACAAAAGCAAAGTGCCTTAGGTCAGGGTTGGCACATCAGTGGGGCTCCTCAGCCCTGGAACAATTGTAACTTTGCAGATGAGGAACTGGAGACACGTGACTTGGCCCAGGCCATTTAGCCTTGCAGAGCAGTTCTAGGTTCCTGACCTCCAGGTTAGTCTTCAGTGCTCGACCTAATGGAAGGTAATGGGCAGCACAGGGAGGGTGGGGAGTATACAGGGAACAGAGAGAGGATAGAAAGCAGTATCTGTCCATCCTCGAGTCGATGGCCAGGGGACAGCTGGTGCAGGTGGGCAAGGGACCTCATGGGGAGACCCAGAGACAGCAGGGATGGCCATGGGAAGCCCCTGAGGGGTGAGTGAGGCAACCACAGGGATGAGTGAGGGAACCCGTGAGAGGTGGGCACCTCTGGTAGGAGGTGAGGTAACCCGATCTGGAGTGAAGAACCTGAGTATGTTTTTCTACCTCTAAAACTGTTGGAGAGTGGGGCTGAGATGCCCACGGTCAACCAGGAGGATGGGGTAACAAAGGAAGAAATGGGACCCTGATACTCACCGTTTTGCCCTGCAGAGCTATGTCTTTACGTATATGGTGGGAGCTTGGGGTTGGGAGGGCTCCTGCTCCTGGCTGTGGTCATTGTGTCCGCCTGTCTGTGCCGGCTCCATCGGAAAGGTAAGCCCCATCACCCACAACATATCCCCTGGGGTCGCCCCCACCCACACCTGTTCCTACTGCTTTCCCAGAAGTCCCCATCGGTTCCCACCCGCCCTGGGACAGGAAGGTGGGAGAGAGAAAAGAGTGTCCAAAAAGAGAGACTGGGGCTTTGGCCATGGGAACCACAGAGATGTCAGCGAGTGAGGAAATACCCTCTGGGGCGGGGGGGGGGGGGGGGGGGGGGGAAGGGAGGGAAAGGCCTGCTGAGCTTCTTCTTTTCTTCCAGTGAGGAGGCTGGAGAGGAGCTGGGTGAGTCTGGGGGCTGGGAACAAGGTGATGGGGGCAAGAGGAGGCTGAGGGCTGAAGGGGAGGTGAAGGCAAGAGAAGCGAGGGAAAGCAGGGGCATAAGAGAGCCAGAGAGGCGGAGAAAAAAGAGGCAGAAAGAGAGACGTAAGAATGAGAAGAGCAAAAGGAAATAGTGTAGAGAAAGGAAAAGGGACTAAGACAGAAAGGAGAAAGACAGAAGAAGAAACTAGAGAGAGAAAGAAACAGAGAGAACAAGAGAGACCCAGGCAAGAGAAAGAGATGGAGAATAAGAACAACAGAGACCCAGGGAGAAGAGGCGAGGGGAGAAGAGAACAGGGGCTCAGGCTGGCAGAGACAGAGGTGGGGGCGCTGAGGAGACAGAGAGGTGCAAGGGTGTGGGCAGCAGCACACAGGAAGGACAGGGGGGAGGGGGCTTTTCTGGCCACCTGCCAGCAGCACTTCTCCCTGCCCCAGGCCCAGCTCTCGGAGCAAGAGCTCCACTACGCATCTCTGCTCCCCATCCCCGGCAGTGAGAGGCCTGACCCAGGCCACAGGGAAGGCACCAAGGAAGACCCCAGCACCGAATATGCCTGCATTGCCAAGAACTAAGCTACCAGAGCTTCCCCCAGATGCCTCCCTGAACTCAGGCCGACCCTGCGGTCCACCCAGTAAACACTGTGTCTCGCCATCTTCTGTGTTTCAGGCTTCTCAGTGCAACTCAGCTTCGTGCCATTCCACAGGGCCGCCATCAACACTTACATGACTTATCTTTCCACCCGTTCTGGGGCTGAGTAGGAATTTCTCAGGGAAAGAAAGGTGTTGAAGGACCAGGCTCTCCTGAAGGCCAGAAAGAGCCCACACGTGGGCCTGACTGGAATGGGGAGTTGACATGTAGGGGTCAGATCTGACACTCCCCAGTTCTCAGGAGAACTGTTTTTTGTTTGTTTGTTTGTTTGTTTGTTTTTTCACTTTGTTTTTTGTTAAAGAGCATTAAATAATAAAGTCTTCAGGCGAAGACATAGCAATAATTGATTGAAATCAATTTGACTCAACCAAATTGATGAATTAAAGCAATTAGTAAAGCAATTAGCAATTAAAGCAATTAGCCTCAGCCTCCTGCACCCAGAGAGCTGGAGGTGCTGAGCCCTGGGATGGTGATGGGAGGGGGCGCCAGGCACAGTTACTGGGAAGCTCGCTCCTTGGACCTTTCCAGGCTGGGCTTGGTAGAAGGGAGAGTTAAGAGTTGGGGGACCCCAGAGAGGGACATATTGGGGTACCTGGAGAATGGAAAAGGAAACACATGAGACTCCTAAGAAGGTGTTAGCGACAGGGCTGAGAATTTATTGGGGTCTCTTGAAGAGAATTGGATGCCTGGGTTCTGGAATCACTCATCAGAGGCATCTAAGAAGTGGCAGCGTGTTCTCAGGTGACAGTGGCCTGCAGGAGAAACGACAGGAGTTGCTCGGTGCCGCAACCCTTCTTCTGCTGTTCTTTGTCTCCCCGTCCTCCAGCTCTCTCTTCACCACTGCCCTGGCCCCCTTCCTTACATTTGCCTTGGTAATAGATGGTGCTGCCCATGGCCACACAGATAAAGCTGAAGGCATAGAATCCAGCCCGAAGGAGGAGGACGGTGCTGGCCCCTAGCCGAGGACGTCCTGCATGGGGGCGGTAGAAGAAAGGGGGAAAGGGGGGGCCTAAGGAAGAAGCAGGCGCAGGCCCAGGGATGGACAGAGAGCAGGGGACTCAGGGAAAGACTCCCAACTTCCAGGAAGAGTGGGGACTCCCATCTCACCTTTCTCTACCACCAGCAGAGTCCCATTCCCTGTCCCAACACCTAGGCCCAGGACCTCCACCCTGCACACGTAGACTCCAGAGTCACAGTCTTGGGTGTCCCAGATGTGCAGTTCGGCCTGATGGTCACAGAGGAAACGGGAAGGGGGAAGAGGGGCCAGGCGGCCCCTAAACTCCGGGGTCCCATTCCTCACTTCCTTCCCTGGGGCCACCTTGTCCCGGTACCACATGACAGAGCCAATGGCCAACTTCCCTCGGCTGGCATTGAAGGAGCAGGGCAAGAAGGCAGCGGTGCCCTCCTGGGTATGAATCTCAGGGGGCTGGAACACCCAGAGAGCACAGGATCCTGGCAGGCAGAGAGAAGACCCAGAGAAACACCTCCCCGGTTACAATACAGAGAAAGGACAAGAGAGCTTGCAGTAGAATATCCCAGCTGTGTCCCCACCCACGGAGGACCCAGAGGGTCAAGCACTTTACTGCCTCATGAAACCCCTTCCTTTCCACCAGCCTCATTTCTTAATATGGCTTATTAAATAGTTTTTTAAATCCTTTCCTGTGCCAACTCTCATCCTCACTCTATCCCATCACTCTCCGGCTACCTTCACTAGTAGTGTCTTGCTGAAACTTAACCTGTCCCATTGAAATTGGAGCTCATTAATGAATGTGGCTGCCTAGCTAACTAATAATTCACTATATTATTCCATTACTTTCATACCAATGGCAAACTGTATATGGTACACCACCCTTGCTACTTTTTTTTTTTTTTAAGATTTTATTCATTTATTTGACAGATAGAGATCACAAGTAGGCAGACAGGCAGGCAGAGAGAGAGGAGGAAGCAGGCTCCCCGCCAAGCAGAGAGCCTGATGCGGGGCTCGATCCCAGAACCCTGAGATCATGACCTGAGCCACCCAGGTGCCCCACTACTTTGTTTTTTGTTAAAGAGCATTAACTAATAAAGTCTTCAGGTGAAGACATAGCAATAATTGATTGAAATCAATTTGACTCAACCAAATTGATGAATTAAAGCAATTAGTAAAATCTCCGATTAGATTCTCTAGCTCGTGAAATTTACCTGCCATTCGTCTACTATAGCGGTTCTCAAGCTTGAGAGCACATCAGAATCACCTGGAGTGTCGGTTAAAACAGATTCCTGGGCCTGACTCTCCCCGTTTTTTACTCAGCGGGTTTAGAGTGGGGCCTGAGAATTTGCCCAGATTCCCAGCTGATGCTAAAGCTGTGGGTCTGGAGTCCACACTGCATTTAGTTCATGGGTATGGCTGATAGTTAACGTCTCTCAGTTAATTAAAATCGGTTTCACTAAGAAACTTCCCTTAGAGTTAATTAGGTCTCCCAAACTCCTAATTATATCTAGACCCTAGATAATAAGCCTTGTTTAATAGGCTTATTAAGCTCATCATATTAAAATTGACCCCTTCCAAAAAAATTTACCTCTTCCTCCCTTCAAGCCCTTTATACTGGTTCTTCAACTTTATCTTACTAGGATAGTAGGATAGAAGAAAGGACCTCAGGGATGGAAGCTGGAGTATGACCCACCCAGTGGGCAACATGGAGAAATGGAGGTAATTGTGAACTGGGGGTGTCCACGTTGCTTCGGTTTCCGGAGGACCCCACCAGCTCCCACTCTCCTTTCCTGGCCACTCCCCTCAGGCCTCCATGTCAGCCTTCCCCATCCTCGCTCCTCCTGGCCCCACACCCCTCAAAAGCCCTCTCACCTGAATGGACCATGATAAAGATGAGCAACAGCATCTGGGTCATGTCGGAGGGTGTTGCCGTTGGCAAAGGGGATCTGAGAAGTAAGGTCTGGGTGGAGAAAGAACAACCCACTGCTTGTGGCCAGGCCTTTGGTCACCAGATGGAGGCGGGCAGCTTCCTATGACACACAGGACTCACACATCCCTTATCAAGAACCTCAGCAGGGGTGCCTGGGTAGCTCAGTGGGTTAAGGCCTCTGCCTTCAGCTCCAGTAATGATCCCAGGGTCTTGGGATCAAGCCCCGCATCGGGCTACACATCGTCCTGTGGCCTAAGAGTTTGAGGGGGAAGGGAGGGCTCACACTAGGGTGGGAGGGTGAGACCAGGATGTGGTTCCCCTACCTCCTGAGGTTCAAGAAGACCAACCATTTACCCGGAATAAGCCTCCAGGAGCCCTCAGGGCTCAGAGCTAACCTACTCCCCCATCATCTGGGCTCAGCAGTGCCCCCGCCCACCCCATCTGTTCTCTTCCCTTTAGGCAGACCCACCCCCAGGACTCTTCTAGAAATTCTCTAGTGGAGGGGATTAGGAGAAGCAAGCTGATTGGCAGTGGAGACAGGCGGTTGCTAGGGGCTTTGTTTGGAAGCTTCATTTGCATAGCAATCAACCTGTTTTACTTAGATGTGTTGACTTGGGTGGTTTGGCTGAGTGAAAGCAACCTGATGGAGAGGTCTGCACTCATTCATATTCAGATCTTCATTAAAAGAATATACCTCTCGCTGAGGTCTGCTTTACTCATTGTGTTCTGCCAATACTTACCACCCACTGGTAAACCCACTCATTATTATTTTATTCGCTGTTTAGCTAGCATTTCTTGAGAAACTACCAAGTGCCCCTTATATGAAAAATATTCTTACAGACACAAAGGAAAGACTTTGAGTTTGTAACGCCAACGTTGTACAGGGATTGGTTCAAGACTATACCACACATTCTTGTATGTGCCTCACACACCTACACGTGACAGCACAGCACATAGAAGAGGAGGATTACAGGCACAATACCTGGGGAGTCATGGACCCAGCCCTCACCACACAATCCTCTCTGGCTCCTTTTAGATATATATATTTTCAAGATTTTATTTATTTATTTGACAGATATCACAAGTAGGCAGAGCAGCAGGTAGAGAGAGAAGGGGAAGCAGGCTTCCCGCTGAGCAGAGAGCCCGATGTGGGGCCCCCATCTCAGGAGCCTAAAATCATGACCCCAGCAAAAGGCAGAGGCTTAACCCACTGAGCCACCCAGGTGCCCCTGGCCCCTTTTATATTAATGCATCTTTTTTCCCCTGGATGTCCCTGTTTCTAGCTCTGTTTCATAATACATTATGATCACTGCAGTGATCTAGAGTTTTGTTTTGGAGAAGCAGCAATGTCATGGTTAAGAATGCTGGCGTGGAGTCAGCCTGGGCTCAAATGCCAGCTCCACTACAAACTAGTTACATGATCTTGAACAAATTATTTAACCTCGCCAAACCACCTACACAAGCCACACGCCACATAATCTGGGGAGGACTGACTCAGCCATTCTTCATCAGTAGAGGGTCTTCCTCCTCTGGGCCTCTAATCTGAGGGTGTGCAACCGAGGTCCTGTGGCAAGGCAAGAGCTGCCCCCTGGTGGTCATGGAGCATGGGGACGTCCAAGACACTGGTAGGTGGTTTTTCTTGAATGGGCCTTAATTCCAGCTTCTGCCTAGTCCCTTACCTTGCCTCGTCCTATCAACAGGCCATGTCTGCCCCCAGAGAGTCACTGTGAAGGAAATTGTCTCTTCTACTCAACTGTGAGAAGCCCACAATTTGAGGAGAGAGTAGAGATCACCACCGGTGGAGTAGGGGTGGGGGGCTGGGATGGGCGACTGGCCTGAAGATTGAACTCCAGACTTTCACAGTTACACACACAGAGCGCTGCTCCCTGTCCCAGGGCGATGCAGCTTAGAAGTCAAGTCAGCCTAGTATGGAGTCCTGGTTCCACTGGTTCACACACCCGTGAGATGAGAACAGCATCTGTCAAAGTCCAGACTTCGCTGTACTGGGTGCCCAGGGTATGTTAGCCCCCAGGTCCTCCCCAGTCAGGGGCCAGGATGACCATTGTTACAGCTATGCCTGAACTCAAGGATACCCGGCTCTCTCCACCTCTTGTCTCTACCGAAGATTTCCAATATCCAAAAATTGGAATTCCAAAGATTGCACTTGGAATTTTTTATTAAGTCCATCTAGAATAAATCCTAGCGTATGGGTAGCTCCAGGGATCCTTTTCAGTAGCTCTGAGACTTTCTAGGGAACTTTAACCCACAAGATGGGAACTGCTGCACTAACCAGCTCAAGGATGGATGTTTTCAAAAGAAACTTTTACCAGGGACTCAAGAGGAAAGGCAACGAATAAAGAAGTTGTGAAGTGAATGTGCGCCTGTCTTGGGTCTCACTTATTTATTTATCTATTTATTTTGAAACCAACTATTTTTTTAAAAGATTTTGTTTTATTTTTTTTAAAGATTTTATTTATTTATTTGTCAGAGAGAGAGAGAGAGAGAGCACAGGCAGACAGAGTGGCAGAGGGAGACGTAGTCTCCCTGCGGAGCAAGGAGCCCGATGTGGGACTTGATCCCAGGACGCTGGGATCATGACCTGAGCCGAAGGCAGCTGCTTAACCAACTGAGCCACCCAGGTGTCCCAAAAGATTTTATTTTTAATTAATCTTTACACCCAGCATGGGGTTGAACTCACCCGGAGATGGAGTCACATGTTCCACCACATAGCCAGCCAGGTGCCCCTCTGGTCTAACTTCTTTAACACCGCACCGTGGGCTGCCTCGAGGGTGGTCAGAGCTCAGAGCAGGAAAAGAGGTGAAGACACAGAAGGAACCCTGGAATCTCAGCACCGTGTCCCATCTTACTGGGGGTTTCCTCCTGTGTTGGTAGTGGTGAGATGTGGGTGACTTCTCCTCTAGCCAAGTCCTTATGAACATTTTCAATGAATTAGTGGCCCCCATGTTCCCCTTTCAGTCTCTAACCACAGCTTCTCCTCTGAGTCTCATGCACTGGACCTCACCACCTTCTGCCCCCTTGCTGTCATGATCTAATCTCCTTCCCATTCACTAGGAGCAAGCACCTAACTCTCCAGCTTCCTTTCTATTTCAATCACTGCCTTCTCTCTAGGAGACTTCATGTCCACATAAATGATGTTTTTAAACATTGAGATATAATTATATACAGCAAAATGCAGATCTTTTTAAAAACATTTGAAGTGTACAGATCTTAAGTATACAGTTCGACATTCTCTGGCAAATCTATATACCCCTGTAAATAACACTGGAAGTGAGATACAGATCATTTCCATCACTCTAGAAAAATTCTCCCATGTCTCTTTTTGGTTAATCCCCTTCCCCTTCCAGAATCAACTACTGATTTATACAAATGTATACCCCTATATTACACTATTCTTGGACTTCGTGTAAGTGTAATCACATAGTATACCCTCTTGTATCCGACTTCTTTCATTCTGTATAGTGTCTGTGAGATTCATCTATTGTTGTGTGTATCAGTAGCTTGATCCTTTGTTGTTTTTGTTTTGTTTTGGTTTGGTTTTTTTGCTGAGTATTTCATAATATGGATGTACCACAGTTTGTTTATCCACTCACCTGATGAGGACAAGTGGGTTGTATGAACATTCCTGTACACATCTTGCAAATGATTTTTCTTTACTTTTCTTTTTTTTGAAAGAGAATGTGTACTAGGTAAGGGGGGTGCGGGGAGGGAGAATCTTTTTTTTTTTTTTTAAGATTTTATTTATTTATTTGACAGAGAGAGATCACAAGTAGATGGAGAGGCAGGCAGAGAGAGAGAGAGAGAGGGAAGCAGGTTCCCTGCTGAGCAGAGAGCCCGACGTGGGACTCGATCCCAGGACCCTGAGATCATGACCTGAGCCGAAGGCAGCGGCTTAACCCACTGAGCCACCCAGGCGCCCGGGAGGGAGAATCTTAAGCAGACTCAGTGCTGAGTGCAGAGCCCAGCTCAGGGCTCGATACCACAACCCCAAGATCATGGCCTGAGCCGAAATCAAGAGTCAGATGCTCAACACACTGAGCCACCCAGGTGCCCCAACAAATGGTTTTTCAATATACTAATTTCATAGTTGCTTTACCTGGTCTACTCCAACAATCACCCTGATTCTCCATGGCCTATAGTTTGGATCATGTCACCATGGAAGTTGTTCCACTTTGGAATCTTACCTCCCCTTTCCCAGGAAAATAAAAGCAATTAGGCCCAAGTCCCTCCAGATTCCTGTACCCTATACATGTGCTTTCACGTGATTCAGCTATTGGTGGACTTTTGGGTTCTTTCTCTCTCACTTTCATTCAACAAATTGCGAGCCTCTACCATGGGGTTTACCTATGCAGTCCTGTTATCGCCAGTTTTAACTACTGCTTATTCTCTGTTGAGACTCCAGTCTATATCTCCATCTCAGTCTACACCTTCACCTGAGGCCTCTTTCTTGAGGTTCAAATCCAGAATATCTAGCTGTCCTCTAGATATCTCCTCCAGAGTGTTTCACAGGCATTTCAAAATCATCAGTGTCCACCCAAACTGCATCGGGCTCCTATGGTCCCCATCTCAGTGCATGGAAGCACAGTCCACCCCATCACTTAAGACAAAAACCTGGGGTTCTCCTTCATTTCCCTCATCCAAACAATCTCTAAGTCCTGTCCATTCTGCCTTTAAAATATCTCAAGTATCTTCTCACCTCTTAATTGTCACTGCTGTTTAAAGCCATTGTCATCTCAGGATGAAACCAGTACAATAGCTTCTCTGATGGACAGTGTGGTTTCTCCTCAGTATCCATTCCACAACTCCCTCTCCAAGTCTTGGGGTCCATTTATCCATTCAACAACGGTTTTACTGAGTTCCTCCCACACGCCAGGCATTCTGTCTTCTTCTTCCCTTATATCTTTCTTCATCTCTCTCCTTCTTTCTCATATCTCCCATATCTCTGTCCACAACTCTTTCCTCTCTCCATCTTTATTCACATCATTTGTTTCTTCCCTATGTCTCCACCCACATCCCACATCTCTCCACACATCTTTACCCACTCCCTCCACACCCATCTGCTTGTTCACTCATTCATTCATTCAGCAAATATTTGGTAAGCACCTTCCCTGCGCTAGGCACCCATCTCTCCATCCCTCTCTTCCCTCATTTCCATCTACATCTCTTTCTGCCTCTCCATCTTTCCTTATATTTTCCCCAATACATCTCTTTCACCCAACCCATCTTTCATGCTCTTTCTCCTCCATTTCTCTCTGGGTGGGAGAATGAGTCAAAGCTGGAAAGGCATTCCCCTTTTTCCTCTGGGAGCTGATCGCTCCTTTCCTAAGAAGCCTTCCCAGACTCCACCAAGGCAGACTGGGACCACTCTCAGATGCCCTCAGATTCTCTGTGCCAGATTCTTTATAAAAAAAATTAATCTAAAATATTAAAGGAAAACTAACTTTTAATTTAAAATCACAAAAGACAAAGAGGAATGAAACCAGATAGTTAACAAGCTCGATCTAGGGAAATATGTAGAATCCTTGAAAAACTAGAAAATATGTGTTATTTTCACATACAACAAAGACATTTAGAAATAAAGAATCAGGGGCACCTGGGTGGCTCAGTGGGTTAAAGCCTCTGCCTTCGGCCCGGGTCATGATCCCAGGGTCCTGGGATTGAGCCCCACATTGGGCTCTCTGCTCAGCAGGGAGCCTGCTTCCCTTCCTCTCTCTCTGCCTGCCTCTCTGCCTACTTGTGATCTGTCTGTCAAATAAATAAATAAAATCTTTAAAAAAAAAAGAAAAAAAGAATCAAAATCATGGAATACAATTGCTGATCAAAAGCCATGACAATTTAAGAACAGTAACAAAGAATATTTATTATATGCTTGGAAAAAAATTTTAAGTGTTTTCTAATGTATTTTGAAACTTTATTTTTTTTTAATTTTTTTGAAGATTTTATTTATTTATTTGACAGAGAGAGATCACAAGTAAGCAGAGAGGCAGGCAGAGAGAGAAAGAGAAAGAGGAGGAAGCAGGCTCCCCACTGAGCAGAGAACCCTATGCGAGGCTGGCTCTATCCCAGGACCCGGAGATCACAACCTGAGCTGAAGGCAGAGGCTTTAACTCACTGAGCTACCCAGGCGCCCCTGTATTTTGAAATTTAAGAAACCTATCTCTAAATAACTCAAATGCTAAAGAAAATATAATAATAGGATTTAAAATATTTTGTACTGAACAATACTGAAAATCCTGCCTATCTAAACTGTTGAGGGCTGGGAAACTGCTTCTCCCTCTCCCTCTGCCCCTCCCCTTCACCCCCCCACCCCCTCACCTCCCACCCCCTCTTCATGCTCTCTTGCTCTCTCTCCCTCTCAAATAAATAAATAAATCTTTTAAAAAGGGGGCACGCCAGGGTGGCTCAGATGGTAAAGCATCTGCCTTGGGCTCAGGTCATGATCTCTAGGTCCTGGGACTAAGCACCATGTCTGGCTCTCAGCTCAGCAGGGAGTCTGATTCTCCCTCTCCCTCTGCCTCTCCTCCTGTTTATGCTCTCTCTGCCTCTCTCTATCTCTCTCAAATGAATAAATAAAATCTTCAAAAAAAAAATAAAGAAAAAAAGAAGAAAAAATTTGAAATTCATTGAGTTGGACGGTTATTTCAAGAAATTAGAAAAAGAGGGCACTTGGGTGGCTCAGTCAGTTGGATGTCTGCCTTTGGCTCAGGCCATGATCCCAGAATTCTGGAATAGAGCCCTACTTTGGGCTCCCAGCTCACCAAGGAGTATGCTTGTCCCTCTCCCTCTGCCCTTTCCCCCTACTTGTGAGGCTCTCTCTCTTATTCTCAAATAAATAAATCTTTTTTTTAAGTTTAATAATAAAAAAAGAAAGA